ACACACACACCCTACAAGAATAATAGTACCCCAAACTTTCGGAAGATCTGTAGTGCTTCTCGGAAAGAAAGCAAATAATAAGAAGAAAAAGGCTTTGGTGGGTAAATCTTTGAGTTTCAGTGTGATGTAGGATTTGGGCTCCTCTAATTGGCGCTGCAATTAAAAGACGTGAGTACCACCCTACCTTAACTAAGGGGCATCGACACAGACGTTAATGAAAATGGTTTGGCATTTTTCCTAGTTCTATAATTGAATTATTTGCTTCTTAAAGAAAGTGAATAAAAGGAAGGTTGCACTTCCCTTGCAGACTATTATGATGACGAGTTGGATTTCCGGCGATCTTTGTTCTGAATGACATTTCATTATGTCCCCCCTGATATCCCTTTTGCACTGAATCCTTGGTTAATCTTTAAAATTAAGTTTATTATATGACCTATTGTGACATTGTTGGTGAGATAATCCAATTTAACGCAGCATTAAATCCACAAGTTATGATATCATTAACTTATTTGTGCAACAAAATTCTTGTATTTATAGTATCTGGTCTATTCTTCCCACATGGATGCTTGTCCTTTTGTTAGGATGCTCTATAATTTGTTCTCTATATTTGGTTACTTATGGTGTGTCATTGCATGTTTCTCTGTAGCTTCAAATCACTCAGCTGGCTCGCAAACGAAGGGAAAGGGAATGCACTGGGCTCTAGTGCTGCTTATCTGTGTGGCGGTGTCAACTTTTGTAGTTCTTGGAGCAGTGACTGCCTACAAATATTGGCAAAAGAGAAAAAAGCAACAAGATCAAGCTCGATTCTTGAAGCTGTTTGAGGATGGCGATGACATAGAGGATGAATTGGGCATTGGACCACTTAGTCATGTCATTTAGGGAGAAAAAGAAGTGCATCCTCTTCTCATGGTATACGTGAAACACTTGTACACGTTTTTTGTTTTCAAATTTTTCTTGGAAGGAACTATCGAGACAGTTGTATAGTGTAACTTAACAGAGTGAGAGAGACATAGAGAGAGAGAGAAAGAGAGAGAGAGAGAGAGAGAGAGAGAGAGAGAGAGAGAGAGAGAGAGATTGTGTAAAGTCATCGTACTGCAAGAGAAATGTTGAACTGGTCCTTGATCCTGAAAAAGAAAGTTTGCTTCAAGATGTTGGACAGCCAAGGGTCGTTTAAAGTGAAATGAAATAGTGTAATTGCCTGTGGACTTTGGCTTGGTCTTAATTGGAAGGTTAAGTATAAGTATTGTGGGTTTGCTGCTGTAAATATTATAGTGGATCCATGCAATTTAATTGTCCTATTTCTCCCTTATAAATGTGATGAAAATCACCAAATAAAAAGTTATACATTTTCTTAAATTCAAAAAGTTTTGAGAAAAAGAAAGGGAAATTACCAGCTATGTCCATTTATAGGTAGTTCGTTACAAAAATTGGCCAATTGATAAAATATTATTAATATTAGCCAAATTAGCCAATTAGCTATTTGTAGCAAAAAAAATATCAAATTTTTGCTTTGTTTTGAGCGGGTGTTATGAGAATAGATTTGGCACAACTTAAGAAGCTTGAATCTCAGTTTTGGGATGATTTGGTGAAGTTTTGAGGTTGTTTGGATTGAAAATTCGGTAACAACTGAACATGAAAAAAAATGATATATGTATCACACTGTGTATCATTTGTGTATCACATGTGTATCATATTTGTATCTATTGTGTATCACATGTATACCTGTGTGTGAGATACATGCGTGATACATGTGTCGCAGAGACTTTTTTGAACTCGATTAATGGCTAGTTTTTTGTTGGCTAGTTTTACTAAGTCTATAATTAATGGCTAGAGGTTGATAAATTGAGATCTATTTGGGACATTTGTGTAAGTTTCCGAAAAGAAATAAACAAAATAGAAAAGGGAGATTACAAGAGATCAAGTAATATCAATATGCATTCTGGCTAGTAGGACTGCATATACGTACTTATAGAGCCACGTATTCTTATCAGTGGCGGAGGTAGAGTGTTGGGTTCGGCTGAACCCGGTAACTTTGATTCGAACCGTGTGTTTGTCTTACAAAATGCATTGAATATGTATAAATGATTAATTTAGAACCCAATAACTTTTAACGATTAGAATCCCGAACCCATAAGCTTAAAATTCTGGCTCCACCTCTGATTCTCGTACCCAAAAATAAGCAAATAGATAAACCAAGTTTCAACTGAACGGGTGATGTCTGATCTTTTGACTACAGACTGTAGAGTTATAGGGATGCTGAGGTTCAGAGTAGATGAACATCCATACCTAAAGTAATCAAAATCCAGAATAATAAGAAAAGGATTTAGGTATTGCTTAAAAATATAAAAAATTATTATAAGAATCCATTCCTATCAAGTGAAACTAATGGCAAAATAGAAAAATTGATTTCGTAAAGAAGTGAAGGCGTGTGCAATAGAGATTAGGAATTTTTTGGTCACCACATTATCCACTTGGAAGTGAAATTCAATAAAAATTAGACAAATTAGAGCCATTTGCAACCAATACACACAAGAAGTAGCAGTGGCTTCTATATTAGTACTCCCTCTGTTCCAGTTTATGTGAACCTATTTCCTTTTTGGTCCGTTCCAAAAAGAATGAACCCTTTCTAAATTTGGTAATAATTTAATTTAAACTTACAACTCTAAGCTTTTATAACCACACAAGTACTCTGGGCCCCATTTGGACTTGTTTAGGACCACAAATTCTAAAAGTCTTCTTTTTTTTTCTTAAACTCCGTGCCCAGTCAAATAGATTCACATAAATTGGAACGGAGGGAGTAACACGCAATATAAGTAGCAAAGTCCAAACCTTGGCGTCATCTTTTATGCTTTCTGACGTTCGATATCAGAATTGCTAGAGCCGGATTTTTAGTTTATGAGTTCTGAATTTTAGAACGACGACTAAAAACTGGGTTCTAAATTTAATATTTGTACATATTTAATGGATTGCTTAACATAAAATACACTTTTTGAGCAAAAGCTACAGGATTTGACCGAACGCACAACTCGGTATGCATATTCATTGACCTAATTAGTTCTTCATTGTTGTAAATTACTTCTCAGGTTATAAAAGAAGATGTTCCCTTGTCAAAATTTAACCAATTGATAAAGTTCCAATTATTCTCATTTACTTGAAAAGGGAATTTATTAGGTTAGAAAAATAGTGGTTGAAATTTTGCTTCTTTAGCCTCTGAACCTTCCTCTAAAGAGGGGTAGATCACAAAGGGTCTATTGTACGCAACCTTACCATGCATTTCTGCAAGAGACTGTTTTCACGGTCAACCCCGTAACCTCCTGATCACATGACAACAACTTTACCAATTACGCCAAGGCTGCCGTTCGATGTATTACAGTGTCAGTGTATATAAAAACTCGTTTTCTATTATCTTAACTTTTTTGTTTGGTATGCCTTCACCTTTCTAGATAACAAATGGCTGAGATAACATACCTAATCTTCTTACAAGAAATCTCAAGGTAGAAATAGATGATGTAAATTACATATACTTATTCAATGGAAGGCATCCAACTTGTCACCTACTGACCTTACTTTATTAGTATTTTCAAACCTCAGTACTACACGAAAATACAAAACTTAACATTATATTCTAGTACAATGGTATCAACAAAGATATTCACATAGCAAAAATACAAAGAGAAAGTGACTAAATATGAAGAAAATTTGACATTGAAAAACCTTCCAAACTTCATCACTCCAACTACACTTTTCCCTTTCTATTTAGAGTGTGTTCTTATGCAGCCATTGATCACACCAGACACCCTTTGATCAAACATGTCTAGTCTTGGCCGAGGCGACGACATGTCTTCAGCCAGTGATCTTCCATTTTTAGGCCCAAGATCAACTATGGATCTTCAAGAATTCAGTAGAAAACCAAGACATAATGTCTCTGTCACACTAGGTGAACTATTGAAACGCGTTGGCGACTCTACTGAGGAACATTACAACAATAATTCCCTTGAACTTGGAAATCACTACTCCAATATTGCTTCTCCATCTTCATTTCCCTTTATTCTTTCCTTTCACAATCTCAGCTATAGTGTTAAAGTTAAAAGCAAAATGTCACTTCCTAAGTTCTTGAGGAGGGGTAATAAGGACAACGAGTTGTTAGACGATAACATGAAGATGTTGTTGAATGACATATCAGGAGAAGCAAGAGAAGGTGAAATCATGGCTGTACTTGGAGCTAGTGGTTCGGGAAAATCTACGTTGATCGATGCACTTGCAGATCGAATATCAAGAGAAAGCCTAAAAGGGACAGTAACTTTAAATGGTGAAGTTCTTGAATCAAAACTTCTTAAAGTTATCTCAGCTTATGTTATGCAAGATGATCTCTTGTTTCCAATGTTAACTGTTGAAGAAACACTCATGTTCTCAGCCGAGTTTCGTCTTCCAAGGACTTTATCTAAGTCAAAAAAAAAGGCTAGAGTTCAAGAATTAATCGATCAATTAGGCCTTACAACTGCTGCTAAAACAGTGATTGGAGATGAAGGCCATAGGGGAGTTTCTGGTGGCGAACGAAGACGTGTTTCTATTGGCATTGACATAATTCATGACCCTATTGTCCTTTTTCTTGATGAACCAACTTCAGGACTTGATTCAACTAGTGCATATATGGTTGTAAAAGTCTTGCAAAGAATTGCACAAAGTGGTAGTATTGTGATCATGTCAATTCATCAGCCAAGCTATAGAATCTTGAGTCTTTTGGACCGTTTGATCATACTGTCGCGTGGAAACACAGTCTTTACTAGCTCTCCTTCAAGTCTACAACAATTTTTTTCTGAATTTGGAAATCCAATACCTGAAAATGAAAACAGGATAGAGTTTGCTTTGGATTTCATAAGAGAACTTGAAGGAATTCCAAATGGAACCAAGAATTTAGTGGAGTTCAACAAAACATGGCAAAGGAAAAAACCCTCAAATAGTAGCAGTTTCTTTTACAATGGAACAAAACCATCACTTAAAGAAGCCATAAGTGCAAGTGTTTCAAGAGGGAAATTAGTCTCAGGAGCTACGAATATAGACCCGAGTCTTTCTTCTTCAAATGTCCCAAAATTTGCTAATCCATTTTGGGTAGATATGGTTGTGATAGCCAAAAGATCAATGCTGAATTCCATGAGAATGCCTGAGCTATTTGGTATGCGTTTTGGCGCTGTTGTTGTTACTGGTGTTATACTAGCCACAATTTTTTGGAAATTGGACAATTCCCCTAAAGGGGTTCAAGAAAGGGTAGGATTTTTCGCCTTTGCAATGTCGACAACTTTTTACACTTGTGCTGAAGCAATCCCAGTTTTTCTTCAAGAAAGGTACATTTTCATGAGAGAGACTGCTTATAACGCTTATCGTCGTTCCTCTTATGTTGTTTCACATGCCATTATCTCAATTCCTTCAATATTAGTCCTCTCCATTGCATTTGCTATCACAACTTATTGGTCTGTTGGATTAGCCGGTGGCGTTTCAGGTTTCCTTTACTTCTTGCTTTTTATGGTTGCCTCATTTTGGGCTGGAAGTTCATTTGTCACATTCCTTTCTGGTGTCATATACAATGTTATGATGGCTTACACGGTTGTTGTCGCGATCTTGGCTTATTTCGTGTTGTTTAGTGGCTATTTCATTAGTCGTGATCGAATCCCACCTTATTGGATATGGTTTCACTATATGTCCTTAGTGAAATATCCTTATCAAGGTGTGTTACAGAATGAATTTGATGATCCTCTTGAGTGTTTTGTAAAGGGTATTCAGATTTTCGACGGCTCGCCTTTGAGGGCTGTACCTGAGCAGTTGAAGATCAAGTTGCTGCACAACATGAGCAAGACATTGGGAATGAACATAACAAGTTCAACATGTTTGACAACAGGGGCAGATATATTGAAACAAACTGGTGTAAATGACTTAAACAAATGGTCTTGTTTCTGGATTACTATTGCTTTGGGATTTTTCTTTAGGATTCTCTTCTATTTTGCTTTAGTCATTGGAAGCAAAAATAAGAGGAGGTGAAAAAACTTTGAGGGACACAAATATTTACTAGTTTCTATTTTGTGTCTTAATTTTAATTGAGCAACTTATTTTTCCTTTGTTTTTCTTAGGCATTATGCTTATTTCCAAATGTCCAAATCTTGTTTAATAATATTCACTAAGTTGTATTCAGATGGTTAGCTTTGGTTGGTTTTGCTATTTTGTGGAGAATAGTATTTGCATGTATTCTTCTAACCACAATCTACTCATTTGGTAAGTATATTTTTATAATCATTTGGGATATGATATATATCAAGGGGAGCCTTGGAGTTCCGTGTGACCTATAGGTCCTGGGTTTGAATCGTAGAAGGAACCATAATGCTTGCATTAGGGTAGACTGTCTACACCACACCCCTTGAGGTGCAGCCCTTTCCCGGACCCCGTGAACGCGAGATATCTTGTACACTGGGCTACCCTCTTTTTAATTTCTTATATATATTATAAGAAATCAACAACACTTTGCTTCACATTGGAACTCAAATTCTCTTAGCATGATCAAATGTTACTTGTGGTAGAAAAAGGTCCTTTTCTTATGTACATTGAAAAGTGGCAATTTGATAGCAACTAGAATACAATATCGGGTATCCCTATAAATTTAATTATATATATCCCGTCCAAATGTATTTACAAGCGAGAAAATTGTCTTTTAAACATATTTACATATCTACATCTTTTCCTCTGAGACATTTCAAGCAATTATAAGAATGACATGAAAGCATCATTGGGAGTTAGCCAGCATAACATCTATAGGTAGTTTTAGACAATGAGATTCTATTTTTAGCAGTGATTTTTTCGAAAAAATCACATAAGGTTATCTAGATGCTCTAGAATATCTAGATGTCTCTATATTTTTCGAAAAAATTACTTTACTTTATACCGATTCTTTAGGACGTGTCTTGGTGAAGATCTCAGCACTATTTTTCGGGCTCCTCTTTCTTCCCCCAAGACTGAAGGTTCTTTAATTGGTCCTGCAAAGAAACATGAACACGTACTGACAAAATTTTCATCTCTGAAGCGAGCTGGTTTGATAATAGTTCTTTTTGGTCTTCCCGAACCACTTGAATCATCTTTTTGTTGAGTTTTATGTTGTTGAGGTCCAGGACTCCCTCTTTCTCTTAACTCCTCGGCGGCTGTTTTATCTAGAGAAGCACCTGCAATGGGCAAGCTTGAATCTCCATTATTTAAGGTTTTTGAACTTGCTCCATCCAATGCAGCTCCATAAAACAAAGACACTTCGTCGAATATGACATCCCTTGAGACAACAAAGAGATGAGTTTTTAGGATCCATGCACTTCCATCCCCTTTTCCTTTCATTATATCCGATAAAGATGCATTTCCTTGCCTTGACATCTAACTTGCTTCGTTGAGAATCCGAAATGTGAACATAACAAATAGAGCCAAAAACTCTGAGGTGTTTAACACTAGGCTTTTCTCCAAACATTAAGTCATAGGGAGACTTCATATTTTTTGGAGAAATCGGCATCCTGTTAATCACGTACGCTGCACATCTCATACCTTCAGCCCACAAGGATCTAGGTAGATTCTTGGCATGAAGCCAACTCTTACATGTCTCAGTTAAGTGTCAGATCTTCCATTCAGCCACTCCATTTTGTTGTGGCGTATCAGCACATGTCAGCTCTATTTTAATGCCATGCTGACGACAAAAGGAAAGAAACTCATCTGACGTGAACTCACCGCCATTATCAATTCGCAGCCGCCTTATTCTAGAATCGAGTTCACCTTCAACTATTTCTTTGAGCTCCACAAACTTACTGAAAACTTCTGACTTGTACTTCACAAAATAAACCGAAGTGAATCTAGTAAAATCATCAATGAACATTAGCTTATAAGTATAGCCTGAAAATGAAGGAGTTCTCATTGGCCCCATCAAGTCACTGTGAATAAGTTCTAGTGGGGCATTGCACCTTGACAAGGATCTGTCAAATGGAAGACGATGTGCCTTTCCATATTGACATCCTTCACAAACCTCTCCTCCATAAAAAATTCTTAAGTTAGGCAAACCTTTTACTAGATTCAACTTTACCATGGCTTTTAATTTATCCATGCTTAGATGTCCAAGTCTAGCATGCCAAAGATGTGTATTATCATTGCTACTCATCTTCTCAATATATGAATTAGAGGGAGATAAGCCATATAAATCGTTAACTCTCTTACCTGAGTGAAGGATATCTGCCTTGAGTACGTTGATATTTCGGAGGAACTTCACATCACGTGGGCCAAATAGTAAATAGTTTCCAGCATTTGCAACTGAAAATAGATTTTTCTTCATACCTGAAACGTGAAAGACACTGTTGAGGGTGATAGTGTCTTTTTTCTTCTCGTTGATCACAACAATGCATTATCTGCTGTAACAATGACATCATGTCCGTTGTATTCGCGAAAGGTGGAGAATTTGGATTGATCTCCAGTGAGATGGTGCCCACATCCTGAATCCACGATCCAGTCTCTTTCAAAATTTATGGAAGCCATGGCATTTATTGCTCGAGTCTCCGCTAAGCACTTTCCCCAGTCCTTTTCTTTTTCTTCTTCTTCAGCAGCTTTCTTGGTTTGAGCCATATTGCTCTCTTTGGCTCGACAATATCTTTTTATGTTCCCGACTTGCCACAACGGTAACATTTTAAAAGCCTTTTACCGTTACTGGAAGACTCCCTTCTTTCCCGGCGAGCTTGAACCACTTGAGGATTGAAAGTGCATGCTATCTCTTAATTTCCCTTTAAAATTCCTCTTATCGGCGTCAAGAGAATGTAAAGAATAGCAGAAGAAGAGTATTATTTGGAAACCTTCTGCTAGCCCAAGATCGTTAAATAATATTAGAGGATTCAACTAAAGAAGAGGAAGCTTGAAAAAGAGAAAGAAAGTTTTGGAGAGGAGAACTTTGCTTAGGAAAGAAGGCTTTCTTGATTTTGGCTTCCTAAAAAATGCCTAAGACCACCCCTATTTATACTTCTCTAAGGATGGTTCTAGATAATATTCTAGAACATGCACAAGAAAAATCTAGTGAACCCTATCTTTCCATAATACTCTAGAATACCTAGATGTCTCTAATAGATAAACTTATCTTCCCACGACATTCTAGAACATCTAGATATGTCTACTAAATATCAAGGATACTTCACTAGGACATTCTAGAGAATTCTATATTTTTCAAAAAAATTACTTTACTTTATTTTTCTCACACTCCCCCTTAAAGTGATTTTTTGGAAGCTATCCCTCGCATGTCGCGGAAGAACTCAACCGATTCTTTAGGAAGTGTCTTGGTGAAGATCTCAGCACTATTTTTCGGGCTCCTCTTTCTTCCCCCAAGACTGAAGGTTCTTTAATTGGTCCTGCAAAGAAACATGAATACGTACTGACAAAATTTTCATCTCTGAAGTGAGCTGGTTTGATAATAGTTCTTTTTGGCCTTCCCGAACCACTTGAATCATCTTCTTGTTGATTTTCATGTTGTTGAGGTCTATGACTCCCCCTTTCTCTTATCTCCTCGGCAGTTGTATTATCTAGAGAAGCACCTGCAATGGGCAAGCTTGAATCTCCATTATTTAAGGTTTTTGAACTCTCTCCATCCAATGCAGCTCCATAATACAAAGACACTTCATCGAATATGACATTCCTTGAGACAACAAAGAGATGAGTTTTAGGATCCATACACTTCCATCCCTTTTTTCTTTCATCATATCCGACAAAGATGCATTTTCTTGCCTTGGCATCCAACTTGCTCCGTTGAGAATTCGGAATGTGAACATAACAAATAGAGCCAAAAACCCTGACGTGTTTCACGCTAGGCTTTTCTCCAAACATTAATTCATATGGAGACTTCATATTGTTTGGAGAAAGAAGCATCCTGTTAATCACGCACGCTGCACATTTCATGCCTTCAGCCCACAAGGCCCCAGGTAAATTTTTTGCATGAAGCCAACTCTTACATGTCTCAGTTAAGTGTCGGATCTTCCTTTCAGCCACTCCATTTTGTTGTGGCGTATCAGCGCATGTCAGCTCTCTTTTAATGCCATGCTGACGACAAAAGGAAAGAAACTCATCTGATGTGAACTCACCGCCATTATCAGTTCGCAACCATCTTATTCTGGAATTGAGTTCACCTTCAACTGTTTCTTTGAACTCCACAAACTTACTGAAAACTTCTGACTTGTGCTTCACAAAATAAACCCAAGTGAATCTAGTAAAATCATCACTAAAAATTAGCATATAAGAATAGCCTGAAAATGAAGGAGTTCTCATTGGCCCCATCAAGTCACTGTGAATAAGTTCTTGTGGGGCATTGCACCTTGACAAGGATCTGTCAAATGGAAGACGATGTGCCTTTCCATATTGACATCCTTCACAAATCTCTCCTCCATAAAAAATTCTTAAGTTATGCAAACCTTTTACTAGATTTAACTTTACCATGGCTTTTAATTTATCCATGCTTAGATGTCCAAGTTTAGCATGCCAAAGATGTGTATTATCATTGCTACTCATCTTCTCAATATATGAATTAGAGGCAGATAAGCCATATAAATCGTTAACTCTCTTACCTGAGTGAAGGATATCTGCCTTGAGTACCTTGATATTTCGGAGGAACTTCACATCACGTGGGCCAAATAGTAAATAGCTTCCAGCATTTGCAACTGAAAATAGATTTTTCTTCATACCTGAAACGTGAAAGACACTGTTGAGGGTGATAGTGTCTTTTTGCTTCTCGTTGATCACAACAATGCCTTCCTTCTCCACATTATGGACTGTATTTATCTGCTGTAACAATGACATCATGTCCGTTGTATTCGTGAAAAGTGGAGAATTTGGATTGATCTCCAGTGAGATGGTGCCCACATCCTGAATCCACGATCCAGTCTCTTTCAAAATTTATGGAAGCCATGGCATTTATTGCTCGAGTCTCCGCTGTGAAGCCCTTTCCCCAGTCTTCTTCTTTTTCTTCTTCTTCAGTAACTTTCTTGATTTGAGCTATATTTCTCTCTTTGACTCGACAATATCTTTTTATGTGCCCGAGTTTGCCACAACGGTAACATTTTAAAGGCTTTTTACCATTGCTGGAAGACTCCCCCTTCTTTCCTGGCGAGCTCGAACCACTTGAGGATTGAAAGTGCATGTTATCTCTTGATTTCCCTTTAAAGTTCCTCTTATCGGCGACAAGAGCATTTCCTTCCCCTTCTTTGATAGATACACCAGCCATCTGTTTGGCTAATAGCTCTTGTGACGATAGCAAATTCTCAAATTCTTCCAAAGATGGTTGTTGAACCCATCCTTGAATCGATGTAACAAAGGGAATATATTCTCGCTTTAAGCCACGAATAATAATTCTTCTTATTCGTGCTTCAGAGATAGCCTCGTCCGGATTTAATAGAGAAATTTCAGAACACAGATTTTTTTACCTTAAAAAAATACTCGACGATCGAGAGATTACCTTGAGTGGTGTTAGCTAACTCATTCTCCAAAATCTGTAGCTGAGCTTCATCCTTCTTGTTGAACAACCGATCGAAGGTCTTCCATATTTCATGAGCTGATTTACACCTTATAATATGATCAAATAAATTAGGAGAGATGGACCTCTTTAGGATAAACTCTGCCTTAGCATGAATCTGCTTCCACTTCTTACGTGCATTGCTATTTTCTGGTGCGTCAGCAGTAGGACTTGTGTTACTCCCATTGACAACTTCCCACAAATCCTCACCAACAAGGTATGACTCCATACGACTCTTCCATACCTTGTAGTTGGACTGGTTCAATAACTCAATCCCCAGTCCATTAACACGACCACCCAAATCCATTTAACGAAACCAGTTGAATCAACCACTAACTCGACCTTGAAATCCAGAAGCCAACTTAAGACTCTGATACCATGTAAAGAATAACAGAAGAAGAGTATTATTTGGAAACCTTCTGCTAGCCCAAGATCGTTAAATAATATTGGAGGATTCAACTAAAGAAGAGGAAGCTTGAAAAAGAGAAGAAAGTTTTGGAGAGGAGAACTTTGCTTAGGAAAGAAGGCTTTCTTGATTTTGGCTTCCTTACAAATGCCTAAGACCACCCCTATTTATACTTCTCTAAGGATGGTTCAAGATAATATTCTAGAACATGCACAAAAAAAATCCAGTGAACCTTATCTTTCCATAATAATCTAGAATATCTAGATGTCTCTAATAGATAAACTTATCTTCCCACAACATTCTAGAACTGTAACGACCCGACCGGCCGTTTTTAGAATTCACGCCCCGATCCCCCGTTAACTGTTTTCCCTAAGTTCATTTCTGCTATTTTGGTTTGTCGGGACCTTCGGTGTTGAGTTTTGGAGAGTTTTGGGACACTTAGTCCCTAAATGAGAGCTTAAGAGTTGAAAAATGATCCGTAATCAGAACAGTATGAAGACGACCTAGGAATGGAAATCCGATGGTTCCGTTAGCTCCGTTAGGTAATTTCGGGGTTGGGAGCGTGTTCGGAATGTATTTTGGAGGCTCGTAGCTCATTTAGGCTTGAAATGCCGAAGTTTGAATTTTTGAAGTTTCCGGTCCGATAGTGAGTTTTTGATCCGAGGGTCGAATTGGAATTCCGGAAGTTGCAGTAGTTCTGTCATGTCATTTGGGATGTGTGTGCAAAATTTTAGGTCATTCGGACGAGGTTCGGGTAGGTTTTTGATCGAAAGCGTGTTTGGTTGGAATTTGAAGTTCTTAGGCTTGAATCTTTGATTAATTCGGGTTTCCGGCGTTGTTTAGGTGTTTTCAAGATTGGTACAAGTTTGAATAAGGTATTAGGTGGTATTGGTACTTTTGGTTGAGGTCCCGGGGGCCTCGGGATGATTTCGGGTGGTTAACGGAAGAGTTTTGGAAGTTGAGAAATAGCAGCACTGCTGCTTCTAGTATCTTTCCGCTTCTGCGGCTTGGGAACCACAGAAGCGGAGCCGCAGAAGCGGCCTTGGTCGTCGCAAAAGCGAGATTAGCCCTCCCTCTCAGGAACCGCAGAAGCGGTCTCCATTCCGCAGAAGCGGAACCGCAGGAGCGTTATGTGTCCGCAGAAGCGGACTCTGGTCTATTAAGTGAAAACCGCAGAAGCGGTTGTTTTTCCGCATATGCGGGACCGCAGAAGCGGTCCCTTGTCCGCAGAAGCGGAAATCCCTGGGTAGAAATAGAAATGTCGAGGGTTTGAGTTCATAAGTTACAAAATCAATTGAGAGCTCGGGAGAGGGCAATTTTGAGTGGGTTTTGAAGAGAAGATGGTAACGTTTCTTAATCCCTTCTAGTTATATTTCATTATTTTGTAGTTAAATCCATCATTTAAAATTCGAATTTGGGACTAAAATTGGAGGAATTTGGTTAGAACTTCTTAGGCCAAACTTTGGGATTTTGAGTGAGTATTTGACCTCCGATTTGGAAAATTTTTATATGGTTAGACTCGTGAGAATACGAGGGTTCTGAAAATGTAAAAAATTATTTGATTCCGAGGCGTTGGCCTGAAGGGCATTTTGGTCATTTCACCTAATTTCACGCCGTAGCTTTGAATTAAATAGTAGAATCAGTTGCTTGAGATGTTATTTACAATGTGTGATTTAATTGAATAGATTTGGGCCATTTGGAGTCGAGTACTCGTGGCAAGAACGTGGTTGCTAGTTGATTTTAGCCGGTTCGAGGTAAGTATCTTGCCTAACCTTGTGTGGGGGACTTCCCCTTAGGATTTGAGTCTTCTTTGTTGATTGTATTCCTTGTACGCGAGGTGACGAGTGCGTGCTAGGATTTATTTGTGGAAAATTATCCCTTTTAGGCTCTTAAATCCTTGTAGTCACCGAATATAAAGTTGTTCTTGATACGATTGAGTTCCCTGTTATTAGCTTCACCTTTACATGTCTTACTTGGAATTTAATTGCCCCTTTTTGGATTATTCTTGTTGCCTAATTGACTTTTACTTGTTTCACTGTAGACATTACCCTTCTATAGTCACATTATCATTCCTAACTGCTTGTCTTTATTTGGAAAGCATTACTTCTATCTCTCGCGTAATTAATTGGTCTTAATTGGAAAGAAGTTAGATATCCTATATTCAGTTGATACTTCCTTAATTGTAATTATTTGATTCATGTTAACTTCCTTGTTGTTGAACTCAGTATTATGGAATCGTTGTTTCATATTATTTCTCCCTTGTTGAGTTGTTCTTATTGCGCTTAGTATTTCTCTGTTACGGTTATTCCTTGTGAGTTAGTTGTACCGTCTTTTGGTGAACGGAAATACCTGAGTTGATTCTCTTGCCTTGTTCCTGTATATATTGTCTTTTGTTATGTTGTACTTGAGGTTGTGACGCACGAGGTTTCTGCCATGCGGTTGTTGATACTGTGATGCACGAGGTTTCTGCCGTGCGATTGTGAATATTGTGATGCACGAGGTTTCTGCCATGCAGTTGTTGATACTGTGATGCACGAGGTTTCTGCCGTGCGATTGTGAATATTGTGATGTACGAGATCTTTGCCGTGTTGTTGTTGTTATTGATGTTTTGCACATGCGGCGTAATAAGGCGGGATATGTTATATGCTTATATGTGGGTTGCGCATGTGGCGGAATAAGGAGGGAACATTGTGATGCACGTGTGGCGAAATAAGGTGGTACCTATTATCTTATTATTTGCACACGTGGCGAAATAAGGTGGGCTATGTCAGGGGATGATTGTAGAGAATTGTGACGGCCTGTGGAGGCATTCCTATTTGTTTAATAATGTGATTGTGGGTTGCTTACCGGTATGAGCTTTATCGCTTGGAGGTTGTGAGGAAACATCGTACGTGCGGTCCGTTCTCCTTTTCATGTTTACTAGCTGGTAGAATTTTGTTAGAAACATTTGCACAAGCATACACGTAGCTGAACACCCCTATTAGAGGTGAATTCCTCCTGATTTTGCTAAGGGTGGAGGTACGCCCTCGTTTATCCATTATATTTGTGAGAGTGGCCCTAGTTAGCCAGTTAGTTGTCGGTATGACCATGAGATTGATGGGGCACAGGATGGCAATTGTTAGATTACAGATGCTGGGTCTTCGCGAGTTGTGGTTTGTCCGAGACTTGGTGAAATTGTGGAAAGAGTTGGATAAGACCCTTGTGAACATCATTGTAGGATATGAGTTATTGACTTGTTTTCCCATTGCTGTGTTGTGACCTTAGGATTTGGATTGTGATTCTGCCGTCATTTCCTATCCTCATTTATTATATCGTTGTTACTTGTTGTATTTTTTTTCCTTATCGTGAATTGTAGCATTCTTGGTCATTCATGCAGTCTTTACATATTTATATGTCATTTCCATTGTTCCTATGATTATACTGTTTATTGACCGGTAGGTGCCTTGACTGTTCCTCGTCACTACTCCACCGAGGTTAGTCTTGATACTTACTGGGCACCGCCGTGGTGTGCTCATGCTACTCTTCTGCACATTTTTGTTGTGCAGATACAGGTACTCCCACTCAATTCTGTCAGCCTTGGAAGGAGGCGTATCGGTAGAGACTTCGAGGTATATCTGCTATGTCCGCAGACCGAGGAGTCCCTTTCCAGTTTTCTGTAATAAGTATAGCTCTTTCAGCATTTCTCCTTTGTATAGATATTCTTGAGTCAGAGCCTCTTATGTATCCCTTAGCTTGTGATTTGTGAGTTTCCGGGTTTTGGGAATTGTTTTAGACTTATGATATTGAGTTGTACTTGCCATGCGGCATTCAGTACAGTTTCCTTTAGATATTTGATTTGATTTTTCTCTATTTTTCCGCAATTATTATATTTTCGCAAATGTTAGGCTTACCTGGTCATGGGGACCAGGTGCCGTCATGATATGTTCACGGTTGGTGAACTAGGGTCGTGACAAGAACATCTAGATATGTCTACTAAATATCAAGGATACTTCACTAGGACATTCTAGAGAATTCTATATTTTTCCAAAAAATCACTTTACTTTATTTTTCTCACAGTTTGTTATCAAGAATTCTAACAAGTAAGATTCTGAGATATTTATCACAGCCATATTTTCTAGAGAAATTTTTATAAAGCACTATCTTTTAGTGGTAATTAGCTATCTATAGATACCATTTGCTATATTGCGGCCTGTAGATACGTTTTTTGTTGTTATAAGATGTGTTTGATGTATTTGAACTATTGTATTCATGAATATAGTAGGAAAAATCAGCGTGAATCATGGAAGTCCAGCTAATCAGTTGTTGTATTCAACTGTATTCAAGAGCTGTATTATTGAATACAGTAACGTATATTCTTTAAAAAAGGACTTTTCAACTGTTTTAAAACGGAAAGGAAACCAATTTAGCAAATAGTCTCCTAATATAACTCAACTAACACAATTATATCACCTACAATCTGTTTTCTCCCTTCATGAAAGATTTTCAATCCGAAAAGTATAAAAAAACAGAGCAATCTGTGGATTTTCAATTCTCCCTTCTTTCTTTTCAGTTCCTTTGTTACGGTTCGTACAAATTCAACCACGAAAAATCGAGATTGATACAATTGTATACAGAAGTACGATATAATTCGATTTTGCATATGGCAAGTTTAACAGTGTTATTGCGTCATTCTGGAAAGTGGAACAGTGAGAGTAACTATGTCGATTATTCGATTGAGGAAATACTAATAAAAGAGTATGCGTCGTATAATGATTTGGTTGCGTCAATTTCTAAGAAACTGGACATAGATTTGAGCTCAAAGACCATTAAAATTCAATACAAAGTAGAAGGAAATTGCACGCCAAATGGAAATACACAATGATATGGGTTACAGGGTGTATGTAGAGTTAAAAAAAGAGAAC